TTTTTCTATTAATCTGTTAAGTCTTATTAGTGGAGAGTTTTTTTTCCGTGTGGTCCTTTTTTATTTGGGTAGTGTTTTGGGGGACAGCTATATCATTTTATTAATGTGACAAATATTAATGTGACACTCTAAAAAAATTAAAAACTCCTTGGTGTACTTTTCCTAAACATGACGTCTGACACTTCATCGTGGCGGGTATGATGTGACACTCCAAAACTTTTATTTCAAAAAAACAAAAACTCCTTAGTGTACCTTTTGCAAATGTGACAACGTGGCGGGTATGTTGTGACACTTCAAAAAAAATAAAAACTCCTTAGTATACTTTTGTCAAACGTGACAGCGTGGCGAGTATGATGTGACGCTCTAAGAAAATTAAAAAATCCTTAATGTACTTTTCCCAAACGTGACATGTGACCCTTGTTAGCATATTATATTAGCCGAAAGGTACACTAGGGTCTGTCTGTAATCATTTTATGCACTCAGGGATAGCACTCAGGGATCATCTTGTAAATTGCTTTTCTTGTAAACCCTAATCTTCATCTATAAATAGGGGGTGATATTCTATCATTCCCCAAGCTGGTTACCCAAGCTTCAACCCTCCAATGTGGTGAGTATAATGTGACACTATAAAAAATTTAAAATTCCTTAGCATACTTTTTCCAAATGTGACACTCTAACGTGGCAGGTATGATGTCACACTAAAAAACTCAAAAAATGAGTGAGACCACTAAAAAGAAGAGCACTAATGGCTCTAAAGTGGTGTGGGTCCCACATGATGGGATGTTTTGCTCTTGTGCTTTTTTTTTTTCTTGTGCTTTTTTTTTTTTTTTTTGAATTTCCACCTCATTAGTGGTCAATTAGTGCTCCCAAATGAATGCGATGAATCATTGTTGAACAAACTCTTTAGTATGATTTTTTCAAATGTGAGAGTCTAATGTGATGGGCAAATAAGTCATTATACATCTAAAAAGACTAAATGGATCAAAAAAAAAGAAGAGATTATATGAATTATAAATTCAAAATATAAGACTTATTGGTCAATCTTTCTAAAATAAATACATTTTTTTGACATTTTTATATATTTTTAAGATACTTTTTCCACATTTTTCAATAATAAACAATACTTAAAGAGACTTTTTAACATTTGTGTTTAACGATTGATAGAGATGTGCAGCTGTGCTACTTTGATTCTCACTATTATAAATTCCAGCTTTGGTTTTACGAAAAAAAAAAAAAAATGTTTGGTAGTTTAAAATTTTGTGACTCAAATGGTTCAAATATATCTAAACGACGTCGTTTTACACTCATTTACACTCAAAACGATGTCATTTTGAGTGATTTGAGCCACAAAATTTTGAGTTACCTAGCATTGTTGAAAAAAAAAAAAACAATGTTTGAGACTCTTATTTTTTGAAGACCCATAACTCTTTTTAGATTTTCACCATTGATGGTATGAGCCCCATACATACATGAGCGAGTCTCACATATACATCAATGGTTGAGATCTAAAGAGGGTTGTGAGGGTCTTCAAAAAATAGAGGTGTCAAACATTTTTGAATAATATTAGGAGTCATTCATGATTATTTTCATGATATTTTTTTCATGATTCGTAACATTACTTAGCATTTTTTACAAAAAAAAAAAAAAAAAACAAAGGAGTAATCAATGCTTTATTATTAGGATAATACTTGGTAGCTCGAAAATTCTTGCCCCGAATTGGCTCAAATACCCAAAACGACTCTAATTTTTTTTTTCTTCTTTTATTTCATTTCCCTCTCTAAAACAGAGAAGAAAGAGAGAAGATGCGAGAAAGAGAAGAGCAGAGAAGAAGGAGAGAAGGCAGAGGAAGAGAAGAAGGAGACGGTGATGGCGGTGTCGGTTGGCGGGTTGGTGGCTCTCTCTCTCTCATATATATATATATAGATGTGTGTGTGTATAGATCTGTGTATACACACAGATCTGTGTGTGTTGATGATGATGAAATCCGGTGTTGATCTGTGTATAATTTTTCTTTTTGTGATTGGTGATATATATGTGTGTGTGTGTATAGATGAAGAAGATAATCTAGTGTTGATGATGATGATGAAATCTGGTGTTCATCTGTATATAATTTTTTTGTTTTTGTTTTTTGTGATTGGTGATATATATGTGTGTGTGTGTGTATAGATGAAGAAGATAATCGAGTGTTGATGATGATGAAATCTGGTGTTCATCTGCGTATAATTTTTTTTTTTTTTTTTTTTTTTTTTTTTTTTTTTTTTTTTTTTTGTGATTGGTGGGTGCTGATGTCCTCAACTCCATCTTCTACCTTCTTCTTATTCTTCATTATCATTATGTTCATCCTCTTCCAGAACAGTTTCAGAACAGAGAAAAGAAAGGGGAAAAAGAAAAAAAAAAAAAAACACCAAAACAGTGTCGTTTTAGATTCGAGCCATTTCGGGCCAAATCTCTTTCGAACTACCTAGTAGCTCCGTTATTGTTATTGTTATTGTTATTGTTATTATTATTATTATTATTTTTATTTGGATTAGAGAGCAATTAATGTTCATGTTTAAAGAAAGTTGGTAGAAGGTCTTTCAACTACTTCGCTGAATTATGAGAGGTGGTTTGTGGGTCTTGCGCAATAAATTTATAGAGAAAATAATAATAAATGTTACATCTTTTAATTTATTATTTTTGAATAATTTTTAATAATATGACATTGAGATCAAATCTTACTTAATAAAATACTTACAAATTGAAATTTGACATTTTTTAAACACATCGCCAAAAATAATTTTTAAAAATGATAAATTAAATATCTTAAACATTTTTTTATATATACGAACATAACAAAATTTAAGGGGCTTTATTAGTTTGGGGCCAAAGACAGCGGCCCTAATGGCCTTGCACATGGGACTGACCTGTGTGTTATGATGAAATGTCAAACAATACTCTTATTTTGTTCCTATTCTTGGATGGTATAGACTTTGATGATCAAATAAAGATACGTTTTGGTGTCGTTTGGTAATATTTATGTTTTTAATTTTTTATTTATATTTATAAAAATTTAAAAAATTTAAATAAAAGCTTATTTGGTAAATTTTTGATTTATAAATCAATAGTCTCAGTTTATAAATTTGGCCAAAAAATGTAAACTCAAAAAATGTATTTTCGTTTTGAGTTTTGAGTTTTTTTTTTTTTTACCACCCAACACTAGCCACCACCTGCTACCATTTTCCACCACTGTCTTCCGCCACCACCACCCAATATCCACCCCTCATCACCACCTGCCACCACCACTCACTACCCACCTGCCACCACCACCCACTTGCTACCACTCACCACCCGCCACCACCACCCACCCGTCACCACCCACCACCACCTGCCATCCGCCACCCACCTGCCACCACCACCACCACCCGCTACCCACCACCTACCGTCACCACTTTTCACCACCGTCTTCCGCCGCCACGTGCCACCACTTGCCATTTCTCACTTTTTTTTATATTTTTAATTTTTTTAAAACATTTTGTCAATTACCAAACGTGTTTATAGTTTATATTTTTCTAAAAATAAACAAAAAATAAACAAAAACCAGTTTATAAAATTTTTGTAAATATAAACTGAAAACGTAAACGTTACCAAACATACCCGTAGTGTTTTTTCTGTATTCCATGATACATACGCTTCGCTTCAGCGACCTACAAAAAAAAATTACAAAAATTTCAATAACAAGTATACATTATAAAAGAAAATTGATATTTAATAACACAAATAAATTTTACCATGTCTGCCTCAGTTGTTCCACTTTGTTGCCTCAGTTGAATTTGTTCAAGAAAATCACAGAATTTATTAATTGCCTTTTGCATACCAGACCAATGGTGAGACAAAGAAATACGGTTTCGATTTGATTCATGATTCAGTTGTGAATTAAAATAAACGAGTACTCGTTCCCAGAATATTGCCATGGTCTGACTATTACCAGCAATGGGATCTTGAGAGATGGCCAGCCAAGATCTACATAAAGTTTCATCTTCTATAATGATGAACACTTTAGCACGAGAAACACGAGAAGCTTCCAAAATGAAATTAATATCAGTGTTTTGCTCTGAAGTTTGTGATTCTTCAAACATTTCAAAATCTTCCATAGTTTTAAGATAAAATTTGCACAAATAAACAAGTTATAAAAAATCAATAGGATACAACATTCAACACATAGTGAAATATATTGTAAAAGAAACAAGAAAAGATGTGGAGAAAAAAGTGAAAAATTGAAGAAATAATATAGAATAAAGATCACACAATGAGAAGACAAAAGAAACAAAAAGTGAAGATTGAAGTTAACAATGACAAAGAAAAGAGAAATTGTAATGATATTGTCAAATTAAAAAACAGGTAGAGTCTTATTTTATAGACCACAACAATGGTAACTTTGTCAAATCTTCTGCAAAACCAACAGTAACCTTATTGGAGTTGCACCCTACTAAATGAACGGCTAATTTTGATATAAATTTAAATTTACATGCAATGCATTTGCCTTTGCTATCCATGCAACAATGTTGGTAAGGAATTTTGTCTTGGTGCCACAAAAAAGCAACCAACAATGCAAGTCAGTTCGCAGTCCAAACCATGGCTGCTGCTGCGAATTTTGTTTGTTAGTCGGACGACTGGGGGACAATTGGCTGGACATCCAGTGGGTCTCACCTCTAACGTACACACACAATAAACTATTGAAATTTGGCCCTGTTTCTCAGTTTGGTAAAAAATTTAAAACGATCTCAATTTTATACAACTTAAAAATAAAATAATACGAAAAATAAAACATTTAATTTTTTAAAAATTAAATTAAAAAATTAAAACCGAACCCATTGAATAATGTTTTGAGCGCTCAGCTCTTTTTATTTGTCGAAGAGGGTAAAATTTATATTCTTAGAAATTACAAACACATAATGCCACCGACATTAGGCCCTAAAAAAATGATATAAAAATCACTAGAGCCGGCAATAACTGCCAATCATCTCTCTCTCTCTCCCTTACTGTTTCTCTGTTTTATCACCTTGTCATTGGTCTCTTGTTTGAACACATAGGCCTAAAATGCGCACTACCACAGTTTCCACTTACAAAAGAACCAAACACTACAGTTCAGCAACATTTTCTCAAGAACCCCTCTTTTCAGAAAGTGATTTTTTATTTTTTTATTTTTCATTTGAATAAAGTTGATCTGAATTTCTGATATTGTTACTTGAAAACCCACAATTTGGAGCAATTTTGTTGGGTGTTAGTACAATAAGGGTGTTAATCACAAAACGCAGAATTGGTTTTCCTGAGAAATTAATGTTGGTTGGAATGGATAGAAGAGAGCTTGACAGAAAAAAGAGAATTGGGTCAGTTAAAGCGGCCATTGGTTTGTATGGAGAGAGAATTCTTGAAGGCAATTCTTCGCTGAAGAAGAATCCCCAAATGGATTTCTCAGAGGTATAATCCGAAAACTCTGAATCTCCTCTATACCATTTATACTTGAATGTTGTGAAATGGGTTGAGCCGAGCCACTTGACTTGTCAAGTGGTAGGTTATTTGAGTTTGAGTTTGAGAATTTCAAAACGTGTTCAAATTTGACTAATTTACTTAATAAGTTAATCTTAGACAAACTTTTAACAGGCCAAATATGAGTTGAATTCAATCAAGTAATAAGTTGTTCACATATATTGAATAGTAGAATGTTTAAATTTGACTTGAAAGCTTAGTGAGTTATGAAATGTGTTTGAACGAGGTTTTAACGAAACAAACACAAGTAGTTTGGTTCGTTTTACACCCTAATCTTAGTTGTGAAGCGTCTTGCATTTTTACTGCAATATCAGATTCACTATTTTAGAGTGATTGAGTTTGTACATAGTTTATTTTATCTCCTCCGTAGACATAGGCACATTATCAAACTATGTATATCTTGTGTATGTGTGTTTGATTTGTTTTTCTTTAATATTTTGTAAGAACCATTCGATTCTTCAAAAACTGAAACCCATTTGGATTTCTTTTCATAAGATGTTTTTTTTTTTTTAAATGTTTTTTATATATGATGCTTAGTTGTGCCATATACTCAGAAAAACTAACCAAAATTTTAATCCTGAAATATGTAGAAAAGATTTATTCTGCATATGATCACCACACATCGACTTTAAATTCATACTCGACACTTCACTTTCTTGATAAAATTCTGGGTAAGCTTCATGGTACCTAGAATTATTATGTTTTTATAGATAAGTTTGCTTTCTGTCTGATATTATTTGCAAATTCATCAGAGACCCTCTTCAAGAACAAGAGAGATTCATCAGGCAAGGAGGGACATTGGTAAGTTCGATGGAAGCAGAAGAGTTGTTGCAGAGTCCATAAAAGCCCAAGCAGAATTCGAGCTTGCCAACGTGAAGAGTGCGGTGAGGGATCTGACTTCAAGAATCAAAGAATTCAATTTCAAAGCAAAATCACAGATGCGAGAATTGACTGTTGCGAACGTTGAGAATTATCAGTATGAAGAAGTGCTGAGTGAATTGGAATATGTAAAGCAAGAACTGAGTAAACTCAAGCTCGACATGGCTTCTGTTTTGGAAGAGAAAAATCGTGCTGAGAAGGAAACTGAAGTGTCAAATTCAAGACTGTCGTCGTATTCAAGCTCTGGAGAAGCACTTAAAAAAGAGATCGAGGAGGTTAATGAAGAACAAGTGATGGTAGAATTGGCTCGGATTGAGGCTGTGAAAGAGTTAGGAGTCATTCAAGCTCAAAGAAAAGAGGAAGAAACCCAATTCTCGTCTGCAATGGTGAGCACGAAAGATATAATGAATAACCTTCTCCAAGAAATTGAACGCGTGAAAGAGCTTGAAACTAAACTGGCTGTCACAACTTCTGATGCAAACATGTTAGAGAATGAACTAAAGATTGCTAAGGAAATGGGCAAAAGTGTTCAAAGAAATGAAAGATCAGTCATGGAAGAATTGGAGGCAACCAAGAAAGAATTGGCATCGATTCGAGAAGAGGCTTCTCAGTTTGCAGCCTCCATGGATTTTATAAAAGCTGAGCTCAAGCGGCTATATGAAGAAACATATCAAATGAAGCAAGCTGAGAAAAAAGCAGATGTTAATGTTCGAACTCTCAATTCGAAGCTCCTCAGGGCAAAAAGCAGACTTGATGCTGTATCTGTAGCCGAAATACAGGCTAAAACAATCGCATCCAATCTATACTTCACACACGAACAATTAAAAACAGAAGCAGAGGCTGCCAAAAAGGAGAGGAGACTAATTGGTGAACAAGTGACAAACATAAAGGAGGAAGTTGAGAAAACTGAGACTGAGATTGACTTAGCTGAGAAAACATTTTTCTCTGCAATGCAAGAGCTCGAAGCTGTTAAAACATCAGAATCAAAGGTTCTTGAGGATTTGAAATCCCTCATTGAGACTACAATGACTGCTAGAGCTTCTACATCTCATGAAAGCTTGACAATACAAATTTCAAATTTTGAATATGAGTACTTGGCAGGACGCGCAGCCAAGGCAGAAGAAATTGCTGATAGAAAGGTTGCAGCAGCTCAGGCATGGATTGAGGCTTTGAAGGCAAGTGAAAAGGAGATATTGATGGAAACTGAGATGGGTCATAGAAAAATCAGAGAGTTAAGGGAAGAGGAAGAGCGAAAAGGCGGTAAACTAGAGGAGTCAGTTTCCTTGAGGAGAGTGATTGATGGGGAGTTGAGGAATTGGAGGGAAAAAACTGAGAAAAGCAAATCAATGCCAGCAAGGTGGTCAAGAAATCGAAACTCTACATCTTCTGCAATGGGGTGTATGTCTAGGTCAGGTTCTGACACTCTTAAGAGGAGAAGAAAGGTAGTGCCACATCTAGTCAAGTTCTTTAGTAGCAAGAGCTTTGAGAGGGGATACTAGTTGAGGGTTTTTTTGTGTGCGCGCGCTTGTTTTCCTTGTTTTTCTTCTGTAACACAAAAAAGAAAAAAGAAAAAAGAAAAAGAAAAAAAAAGAAGTGTGGCCAGGTTGAGTGAGTGAGAAAAAGTACAATAGAGGACTTTGTGTGCTTGTCTTCAAAGTTCCATCTCAATGGTTGTCCTGATATGATCAAGTTTGAGGCTGTATAATTCATATAGCTTCATTTTGTCAGGGAGGTGGCATCAGAGAACAGATGAGGACGATATTTAGGATACACTTATAAGACGACGCACAATATTTCTTTTTGGACTTGGAGGTGCTTAGGGACAAATCCAAGAGTTCAACAATTAGGTTGAGTCATAACGAACAATACTTTGAGTTGAGCGTCTTACATAGTATTAGAGTCGGGATCATGCCTATATTAAGGTGGGGATGTTGAAACCCCCAATCCGATACTTACTATATCCAAAATATACTTGTAAGACGGTGCAAAATACTTATATATATTGTATGAGATAAACCTGTTTACTGTTAGGTTAGATTCACACTTACATCTTGGTTCATATCAAATACAGTACTAGTTTGTTTCTAAAAATTTGTGGTTGGCTAATTATGATCAAGTCAACCAAAACCAAAAACCTCAACAAAGCCAAGCTTATGTTATATATACAACATTCACCCAGACAGGCATCATACAAAAAGAAGATAAAGACTAGAGACACATTATCAATGCATGTCTTCATGGAACAATTGCTAGATAACTGAAACACAAAATGATCATTCAACATTGTTATATGCCACATAACTGAAAGAGAAAAAAAAAAGAAAAAATTCTTAGTACATGCTCCAACATAGTAAGAACTTTTAAAAAATAAAAACAAAAACAATCGCAACAAAAATAATTGAAAAACATCTGATCCTGTATCCCTTACCCATGTTATTAATCCTTACTCAATTTTGCTTGATATTACTCATAAAAATAAATTGTCCAATTTTTTTTAGTGACAAATATGACAATTATCATATTGATCTACTTTTATATATATATGATATCTACAAAATATTTTATAAAATGAACAGTTCAAATTATCAAAATGAGATCTGTGGTGAGCCTCATGGGCACAAATTATAGACTGAAGGGAAGCCTCGACCTCTATTTAGAAGGTGTTTGGAATGATCTAAATAAGTATACTTTTTAACTTTTTAGGAAAATATGAGTAAAAAAATAAAGAGGCTATATAACAAAAAAAGGATAAAAATATAAAAAAATATGCGAATATAAGAGATGCCAAATAAAATAATGCCTTAAACTAAAAAAGAAAAAGGCCATTTTTGTAAACTAAACAAAAGACAAGGGCACTTTCGTCAAATCACCAAAACCAACCCTAAAGCCTCCCCCATCATCGGGAGCATCTATTTACACACACCACTCTCTCTCTCTCTACACATCTTTCACACACAACTTTTCAACACATTCTCTCATTAATTAATTGTGTGGGAAGAGAAGATACCAAGCTCAAGCTTGATAAGGATCGGAAGTCTCTGCTTGATCGGAAGGCGAGGGGTCGCGCAGCCGATAAGGCGAAGGGGAAGTTCACCGTCGATGATGTCGCCGCCGCCTCTGCAGGTGGACCGACGCTTCAAGAGATTGATTAGGTCTCTGGTTGTTGTACCAATTTTAGTATGTTGTTTGTTTTAACTGTCTAGTGAAGTGGTTATTCTAGTGTTGTTCAATTTTAGAGACAAATAATTAATTTACGAGTTCTTAGTGTATGGTGTTTATGTATTTGTGATGATTGTGGTATTTGCCTAGTATATATTTTTATTGAATTGGGTTATGTTTGGGTGAAAAGAAAAAGAAAATTTTTATTTTCATTTCTGTGCAATGGAGAATTTTAGGGTCTGAACAATTAATTTCGGTTTTTAGTAGTACATTTTGTTTATATGTAATATTTTGTTTATACATTGTTTTTAAAGGATCAAATTTATGTGTCTAGGGCAGACATCAGTTTAGTTGTGACAAATTGATGGGAGTGTTGGTGCATCAATCAAATGGGTTTTGCAATGTGTATGGATGTTTGGCATATTTATATATGAGGAATGTAGATAGTGTTTTGTGGCTTCCAACTGCACTAGAGAAAGTTGTGAGCATGAGGTTGCTGTATGTCTCATTTTCTTCATCATCGTGTGTTAGTTAAACTAGTATTAATGCTTTAGATCAAGTGCCTTGAAGAGTCACTAGTTTGGTGGTAAGAAGATCAAAAGTAGATTGTTATGTCTTACGGGTTATGGATATGTATTGGTTTTTATGAAGGCACTTTTTAGCACTTGATGATGAATGTAGGCTTGGTATATCTGGTAATCTGGCAATCTGGCATTAAATAAACGGGACATGAATTTTTGTTGTTTAGAATTCTTGCATCAATCTGGAGCTTGCTGAGGGTATTTGCCTTCTTGTCACTGGGATTTGCTAGTAATTGATATCTGCATGTTTTCCTAAGTCCTGTCTTCAGCTGGTGGCTTATGAACACAGAATAGGATTCTATACAATACTTTTTTGCAATAATCTTGCAATGATCAAGATTATTGCAAGAATGATTGTGTTTTGAGTTAAATCTACTTAAATCATAATTGTTTGTGTTTTGGGTTTAAATTACCTGCTTAAACTAGTATTGCAAGATTATTGTAAGAAGGATTAGTGTAGAGAATCCCACTCCTATGAACACATTCGCATACACACAGGCACTCACTCGTGCTCACATGGGCTTTCTTGCTGTTGGGTACAACCACAGAGGGAATTTTTTGTATTTGGTTCTGTTTCATACTTTAAACCATAATGGGGACTAATACCGGAGTTGATATAGGCCACAATCCCAGGTGATATTGACCCTGTTTGGTAGGGTTTATTTTCAACTTATTTCAGCTTTTAGCTTAGGCTAAGTTTGGGAACTTGTAAAAAAGCTAAAAAGTCAAAAAGTTACTCAAAAAGTTAACACTATTCACCAAAAGTCAACAATTACGGCTGCATAACTCTCAATTCGAATTTTTCTCTATAAATCAATTTTTACAATTTTTTATTATACATTTTTCTATAAAAAGTCAAAAAGTTAACCTAAACATTCATATTTTCAACCTCAATTTTTTAGTCTAAAAAGATAAAAAGTGTACTTATTTAGGACACTCGAAACAACTCCTTAATTTAAGCTATTTTGATGTATTTGGTTCAGCTTAACAATACAGTTTATAGCTTTTTGTAAGTCAAAAATCAACTTATTTTTTGAGTGAGGGAGGAGAAACTTAATTTATAAATCAAAAATCAACTTATGTTCACGGCTATAAGCTGTTAGGCTATAAATTATAATCACTTTCTCACAGCTCTACCAAATTGGGCCATTGGGTACTTATTGACAGGTTTGTCATAGAAGGCGGATAGGATTGTTGTTCCAGAGGTGCATAAGCTTGCAAAGTCACCCCCCGGGTCTTCGCACTTACTAAGTTGTGTGCCTAGTTGAGTGGTTTTGCTTTTGGTCTGGTTCACTTTAATGGGGTCATTTTGTTTGTCATGGTGATTTCCTTGGATACAGGTTGGTTAGTTAGAGGTTTTCCTGTCTTTTGGTTCTGTTGTCATTGACATGGTTAAAGGTTAGTAAGATCAAACTTCTGATACTGAAATGTAAAAGAACTAATCCAAAATCTGCTACTCAGCTGCCTGCTTTATCTGCATGAAGTCATGTAAATCAGAAATGAATGTGGCTGCTTGTTATCACGAGCTAATGTCACAACAGTAACTTTTTGCATGTTTGTTATATTGTTTTTTGTTTTAGAAAAAGTGAAATTGATTTCAAAATTTTTAATTTTTTTAAGCGAAAAGAATGCCTTTTCTTTTTTTGAGAACAAAAAGAATGCCTTTTCATTTTAATTCAAAACAAAATTTCGCTTTATTTTCCTTCCACCATTTGAGCCACCACCCACTATGGTCATCATCGGCCACCACCATTGACCTTCGACACTGACAGCCTACTGACAGAGACCTGTGGTTACCTTCCTGTTGATCGCCAGTGAGCTCCAACAAGCTTTATCCACCTTTCACCGTAGACCACTACCTCTTATAACTCACCAAATATTTTATTTTTTTATTTTTGTTTTCAAAAATTAAACCAGTGCTGAAATGTCGTTATTGGTTATTTTACATCATTCATAGTGAGCCATTTTGTTTCCCAAAAGTCAACACAAAAACAGTAAGTTTAGTTGTTTCCTTTCAACTGATAAAAATCTATGTAAGACACCACATGGATTTGTTACAAAAGAGCTAATTAAATAAAAATAACCAGAAGATCTGATTAAACTAAATAAACAGATAGGGATATCATATCATAGGAATCAACTACAAAATTTAGGTTAAATTTTATTTTGCTTCCAAGAATGAGCACAAAAATGAAGTGATAAACTATATCTGAATCACAATCCCCTTATTTGAATCAGAATTTCTTTTCAGAAATAAACTTCTAATGAATCCAAACTAAACCCAAATCCAAACCCATGCCCGTACCCAAACCCGACTCCCAACCCACAACCCATCCCAACCCCAAAAACCATTCTCACATGGTTCCATGGCCAACCACCATACCCAACTCCTCCAACCAACCCGAACCCTACTCCAGCACCGCATCCGACACCCACGCCGCCTCCAGGGCCTAGCACACCCGCTGCTTCTGTTTTCCGGCCGTTGTCTTGTAGGAATCCAGTGACCAATAACCGCTTTTCGCTGCGCTTTCTGTTATTGCTGTTTGGTCCCTTCTTCCAGTTCCAAAAGGAATTGGTGGTGTCTGTCTTGGGAGATTTGTTCATGTAATTGAGTTTGGAGTTCATGATTGTTGCTGGTGGTGGAGGAATAGTGGATGATATGTTGGATTGGTGGTAACTAGGTAAGCCTTATCTTTCATTTCTTGTCCCAAGTTGTTTTGTTTGTTTATCCAGAAAATGATAGGACACAAACTCTACTAGTCAACAAAAAACGAAAGGGTAAAATTGTACTTGCAATCTTTGAAAGTATTATAAGTTTGGTATAATTGTACCACATAATTTTTTAAGTAAGATAATTTTAACGTAAAAACATGATAATATTATTTTTCTAATTATACAATTAATAAATTATTGATAAAAATAAACTAAACGGTATGTAAATTAAAACTTTAAAAGAGCCTAACTAACCATTCTCCTACCAGACCCAAATCCTATCAGATCTTTCATCTCTAACCCAAATTTGATTCTTATCTTATTGAGAAACCCTCCGAACTTATGAAGGTACCTTTTAGCACCTGATGATGAATACTGGTTTGGTATATCTGGTAATCTGGCATTAAATAATTGGGACATGAGTTTTTGTTGTTTAGAATTCTTGCATCAACCTGGAGCTTGCCGATGATATTTGCTTTCTTGTCACTGTGACTTGCTAGTAGTTAATATCTGCATGTTTTCCAAAGTCCTATCTTCAGCTGGTGGCTTATGAACACAAAATAGGATTCTATACAATACTTTTTTGCAATAATCTTGCAAAAATGATTGTGTTTTGAGCTTAAATCATCTACTTAAATGATAATTGATTGTGTTTTGGGTTTAAATTACCTACTTAAACTAGTATTGCTAGATTATTGTAAGAAGGATTAGTGTAGAGAATCCCACTCCTATGAACACACTCGCATACACACACACGCACTCACACTCACAAGAGGCTTTCTTGCTGTTGGGTACAACCACAGAGGGAATTTTTTGTATTTGGCTCTGTTTCAAACTTTAAACTATAATGGGGACTAATTCCAGAGGTGCATAAGCTTGAAAATCCTGCTCTCTCTCTCTCTCTCTCTTTCTTTGCACTTCAAAGTTGTGTGCCTAGTTGAGTAGTTTTGCTTTTGGTCTGGTTCACTTTTGATTAAAGGATTTGGAAAGAGAAAAAGAAAATTGTGTGAAATTAGGTGAAATATAGGTATATTTTACCTACATTTTCCCTTTTCTTTTCTAAATTTCTTCCCAAATTCTCCAATCAAACACAGCGTTAATGGTGTCATTTTGTTTGTCATGGTGATTTCCTTGGATACAGGTTGGTTGTTTAGAGTCTTCTGTCTTTTGGCTCTGTTGTCATTGACATGGTTGATCAAACTTGGTATACTGAAACGTAAAGGAACTAATCCAAGATCACCTACTCAGCTGCCTGCTTTATCTGCATGAAGTCATGTAAATCAGAAATGAATGTGACTGCTCGTTATCACGAGCTAATGTCGCAGCAGTAACTTTTTGCTCTTTTGGTATATCTGTTGCTATTGCTATCATGTAGTCGGCATTCTAGAATCAAAGCTTCCCCGGCCGTGTCTCTTTGTGTGGTATCCAGGTTAGGGCTGCAATTTGATGATGTCTCTGTTTGTTGGATAATTTTTTTTTTTTTCAAAAGAGTCTTGTTTGTTGTATTGTTTTAGAAAAAAGTGAAATTAATTTTTATTTTTTTTTAGACACAAACACTGTATTTTCATTTTAATTTAAAACAAATTTTCACTTTCTTTTCCCTCCACCATTTGAGCCACCGCCCACTATGGCCATCGGCCACCACCACTGACCTTCGACACTGTTGGCTAACTCTCAGAGACCTGTAGTTACCTCTAATAGATCACCAGTGAGCTCCAACATTGTTAATCAACTGACAAAAACCTGTAATTACCTCCCATGAATCACCATTGAGCTCCAACAAATTATAGCCACCTTTCACCATCGGACACTACCTCTTATAACTCACCAAATATTTTATTTTTTAAAATTTTTATTTTAAAAAATTAAGCCACTGCTGAAATGTGGTTATTTGGTGGGTCCTGGAGTAATATTCCATTTTATTTTACATCATTCATGTTGAGCCATTTCTTCATTTGCTTCCCAAAAGTCACCACAAAATAGTAAGTTTAATTGTTTCATATCAGCTAGTAATAAAAATCTGTCTAAGACACCACATGGATTGCTAAAAAAAGAGCTAATGAAATAACAGTAACCAGAAGATTTGATTAAACTAAATAAACAGATAGGGATATCATATCATAAGAATTAGCTACAAAATTTAGGTTACATTTTATTTTGCTTCCAAGAATGAGAACAAAAATGAAGTGATAAACTATATCTGAATCACAATCCCCTTATTTGAATCAGAATTTCCTTCTGAGAAATAATCTTCCAAGGAATCCAAACTAAACCCAAATCCAAACCCATGCCCGTACCCAAACCCGACTCCCAACCCACAACCCATCCCAACCCCAAAAACCATTCTCACATGGTTCCATGGCCAACCACCATACCCAACTCCTCCAACCAACCCGAACCCTACTCCAGCACCGCATCCGACACCCACGCCGCCTCCAGGGCCTAGCACAGCCGCTGCTTCTGTTTTCCGGCCGTTGTCTTGTAGGAATCCGGTGACCGATAACCGCCTTTCGCCGCGCTTTCTGTTATTGCTGTTTGGTCCCTTCTTCCAGTTCCAAAAGGAATTGGTGGTGTCTGTCTTGGGAGATTTGTTCATGTAATTGAGTTTGGAGTTCATGATTGTTGCTGGTGGCGGAGGAATAGTGGATGAGGAACACAAATGTGAATTTTTCTTGGAGGGATATGTTGGATTGGTGGTAACTTGGTAAGCCTTATCTGTCATTCTTCTGACTTGTCCCAACTTGTTTTTGTTTGTTTATCCAGAAAATGATAGGACACAAACTCTACTAGTCAATAAAAAAACAAAGAATAAACTCTAATTTTAGAATTTTAAAGAGAGTTCTACTGATATAATAAGTGTTGGATAATTTTTATTGTATTTAAAAAAAAAAATTTTGTTTGTGTACTTAACAACAAACGGAATACAGAAGAAATAAAGGAAATGAGAGAGTTTGTTTGATTATAAAAATCAAACCAGAAAATAAAATAAAATAAATAAAACAGATTTTTATTTTGATACAAAAACAAAATCAAAATATGAAACAAAAAAAGAATAAAACAGAAAAGTAAATTAATTAGTTACCAAATTAATTTGTTGAACAAAATTTTCTGATCAAGTCCAGTGTTTAACACTGTGTTCTTAAGATAGATTCATTCTCTCCACAGCGCTTTCAGATTGTGGACATCTATCTCTCAAGATAAAATGATCAACAGTGAATAGTAGTAGCACTACACACTATTCACACAACGAATACACTTTGTGTATATACTCTTTTTCATAGAAAATTAATTACACTCTTTTCTCACAGAAAATTAATGTAATTAACACAGTAAAATGCAGAGATGAATGGTAGCAGAGAAGAACGAAAATTGGAGTGAAAAATCAAAATGAGGGCCTGCCTTTATATAGGAAAATTCGTGGCTGTATGGTTTGAATTAAACAGGTGCAAAACCTATTTGAACAGGTATGTTACCTGTTCGGTTTGAATGAACAGATACAAATCTGTTGGTCTAGCCCACCGACTGGGAGGTGACGGTGCGCGCGTGTTTATTTTTGGATCCAATGAATCTAGCGTAATTTGTCCATAACCTCTCCCTTCTATAAACTTGGAGTGCCCCTTGGGGCCCTTCTCAAGTTACAAACTCATGCCTTATAAACCCACTAAAATTCTTCCCACCAAACCAATCTGGGACAAACCTTTATTTAAATCTTAAGAAATTTTCACCAAAAACTTCATTTTCATGGAGCTCACTTTGACTTCAATTTCCCATTCACCTGATAATGATTTTGGCAACCAAATATACCACGTGAATTACAACGTGGCATAGAACGCGTTACCACTTAAACCCGCCAACTTTGGTGCATGGGTCCCACCTAAAAATTAGACCAAAGTTGAGGAAAAATTCTATTTTTCCAAAACTTTCAAAACCCATTTCTAACAGTAAGGAGTGTGATTTACATGTGATGTGATGTGTATGTTTATGTCTTTATTTTTGCTTTTATTTTTCTCTTGTCACGTCATTAGAACTCTCTTTGGAGTTCTAAAATTAGAACTCTCTAGCATTATTGAAAAACAAAATGAAAAAATTGTACTTGCAATCTTTGAAAGTATTTTGGTATAATTGTACTAAATAATTTTTTAAGTAGCATTGTTTTAATGTAAAAACATGACAATATTATTTTTCTAATTATATAACTAATAAATTATTAATAAAAATGAGTTAAATGGCATGCAAATTAAAATTTTAAGAGAGCCTAAGTTATCATTCTTATGCCATACTCAAATCCTATCAAATCTTTCATCGTTAACCCAAATTTGATTCTTATCCTATTGAGGTCTTGTTTGGCAACTTGAAATTTTTGACAAAAAGTTAAAAGTCATTATAAATTGTCAAATTACTCTTTTTATATTTTTACATATTTTTTCGTAAAAAATTCAAAAATTATTAAAATAACTTATTCTCAAACCAAGCATGAGAAACCCTCCAAACTCATTCCATTTGGGAATGATTTCCATCCGTACCACTATCTTCTGTCTTTTTATATTTTATTTTGTGGGCCTTATTATATGCTGACATAGATGATCTGAAATCATTCATCTCGTAAATCTCGCAGTGTTGAGCGATTGTGCAAAAAATTAGTTTTATCGGATATCATTAGATATATGAAAAAAATACATTTTATTTTTTAAAATGGACAACAATAATGAGTTTAAACTTAAATCATTTATTTTATAAAATAAAATGTGATATGATTATCTATTCATTCGATATTGGATAAAATTAAAATTTTGCACTATTGGTCTTCATCACGAATGATTTAGATTATTTTTGCGATAGTGAAACTTATTTTTGCGATAGTGAAACTTACGAAATGAAATATGAGAGAATAAAGTTATTAATCAATGAAATTAACCATTAAATAAAGTTTTTGTCAATGTCTGGACAAGGACCGGTCAGTAGAGTAGTTAGGAAGATAGGGATGAATGTCGAACACAAATATATATATATATATATATATATATATATAATAGAAAGAGATGCAATATGGTTTTCAAATTTGATGTTTATATATCTCTATCAATACCACCATGATGACCAATGTTTTTGCCATTAAAAAAAAAAAGAAGAGTTTTTGATAGCTACCTTTCCTCAGAAACAGCTCAGGTGATTGAAATATTTTACCCAAAACAAAATCAGATCAAATATTGTGATCAATGAAATATTGTATTTGAATATTCTAACATAATTCTAATAAAATTTATTCTAATTGCCCACATTCGTGCAAACATTATTTAATTATTACTTCACATTCAATTTCAATGTTATAGAAACTGAAATCCCAATATAAAATATTCATCAGTTGAACCTCCACGTATAGGCTCAATTTGGGAATTTAGTTAAAAGTCAAAAGTCAATTTTTAACTTATTTTGGGTCACATCATCTATTTATTTTTTTACATATTTTTTTTTAAAAAAAAACCAAAAAATTAACTTTTAACTAACTTTCCAAAGCAACCTATAGTATACCCATTTAGATCAATTAAACACAAAGAAAACAATCAAAAGTAATCAACCAAGTTATATATGTACAAATTAGTGGTGTGTGCAAATGTATTGCAATATTACATTAAATTTTTGGCCAGTTCGATGAATGAAGAAAACAATTAAAAGTTTTGAACTGTTTGATTAAATGAAGAAAAAAAAATTACTTAATGATTATTAAATATGACCATTATTAGATTTGTAGGGCATTCAAACTTTCAAAACTCAATCCTCCATGAAAGTAAGATAGCGTTCACACTAAATGGGGTATAAGATTTATATATTTGGAAAAATTATAATTTATTGGTATTTTCACAAAAATAATTTCAGATTCATGGAAAAATTTAAGGCTTTAATTATTAATGTTTATAAAGTTTATCATATTGATCTGAATTTCAAAAAATTTGCACTAAATTGAAATTTACCCTATATATTTTATATTTTATATATTATATTATATAAAACACACAACTTATAACATGTCTTGAAGTTATGGCACACATTTTTTCATACTCCAATTACCCTTATGAAACTATCAGATTTTTTTTTATTTCAAATTTTGATGTTTTTTTTTTCCTTCCTTTTTCCTCCTTCCATCTACATTCAATTTTTTCCCTAAATGACAGTTAACTGTCATTTCTATTCACACATCACGTGTTTGTGTGACCTTCTAGTGCGTATATATGCATAAGTGATAGTGCTCTCTTATTAAGGCTAAGCTTGGTATATTATAAAAAATTAAAAAGTTAAAAAATTATTCAAAAAGTTAAAAAGTTAATATTATTTATCAAAAATTAATAATTACGGCTGCAAAACTCTCAATCTTAATTTTTTCTAACAAATCAATTTTTATAATTTTTTATTACATATTTTTTCATAAAAAGTCAAAAAGTTAACCTAAACATCTATATTTTCTTCCTCAATTTTTTAGTTCAAAAAAATAAAAAGTGCACTTATTTAGGACACCCCAAACAACTCCTAAGGCCAAGTTTGGGAAGATAAGAAAAAATTAAAAAGTCAAAAAGTTATTCAAAAAGTTAAAAAAGTCAACACTATTCACCAAAAGTCAACAATTACGGCTGCACAATTTCCAATTTTAATTTTCTCCCACAAACCAATTTTTACAATTTTTTAATACACATTTTTTTTCATAAAAAGTCAAAAAGTTAACCCAAATATTCATATTTTTTTCCTCTATTTTTTAGTTCAAAAAGATAAAAAGTACACTTATTTAGGACATCCCAAACAACCCCAAGTATGACGCACAAATTCAAATGGTATTGCTATGCAATGTATTCTCTTGTCTTGTCTTATTCTTTATAATATTTTAAAAAATGGTAAAACTGAGTAATGCACCCAATTAAAAAAAGAAATAACAGAACATTTATATTTGTAGAAAAAAGTGGTTGTTGGTTATTTAACAAGATAGGTTGTTTGATGGGGGACTAAGAGGGCCACATAGTTGGTTAAAGTTGTGATCAAGAAGCAAACCTTAGGGATATGATTAGTTGTTTACCTAAAATAAGTAAGAAAAAGGATTATTAATCCACTTTTCATGATTGGGAATAACAAAAACTTCAATTCAACACAACCTCCTTCCATCTCATTATTTTTCCTTATTTTTCAAGCAATCATGTAACCAAGTACACTTCCTCTCATCTCACTGCAATCTTATTTAGTTTATCCTTTTTTACTTTCTATTTGGAAAAACTACAATTATTGTGTCAATTTTATCTTTAATTTTTCATGTGTCAATTTAATCTGATTAATTATGATATTTTAAAAATTAGATTGAATCAAAGAACAAAATAATCCATTCATCCTCATCAAAATGATTTAGGGGTCAATATTTAATTTAAAATTATCTTTTTTTTTTAATGAATTATTTCGCCTTTGATTTTTATCTAACTTCTTAATGGGTGTTATCAATTGAATTGAGTTTGGACATTATCAAAAATTGAAAGGCAAAACTAATAAAAAGGTTCAAATTGAGACAAGAGACATATTATAACGACAACTGATATAACTTATCCCTTTTATTTTCTGTAATAATCTTCTATATGAATTCTCAATATGTGTTTTATTATTTCTAGTTTTTCTCCATCAACAGTTTTGGCTTGTTATTTACAGGAGAAAGGGTGTTGGGAATTGAGGAATCTTAAAATAGGATTTTGTTAATATAAAATTGCTAAAAAAGATAAAGGAATTAAAGATCAATCACATAAAGACATAATATTTATGTAGTTCACTTGTAACTGGTTAAGCGCCGCAATTATTCTACTACGTAGAAGAATGAGTTACAAAATACGGATTGTTTGTGTAAGAAAAATATCTAAGTACACTCTGCAAGACACGTGGCTTGATGTACAATTTTATCAAACTCCAGACAACCCAATAAAAAAAATATATGATTGAAATGAGCCATAAGCAAGGAGATCCTTCTCCAAAAAAATAAAATAAAATAATTAAACCATCTTCAAACTCTCCAATCCCATAATGATTTGTTTGCTCCATGTTTAATTTGTGGGTAGTATATTAGTGATTTTTTGAAGTTAAAATATTGTGGACAACACGTGTATGTAATTTTATTGTTATGGTGAAAGGGAGAACTATGAATATTTTGGAATTAAATCCATGCCGTGTATTGTTTGCAACATTTTTATGCATAAATAGGAGGTTTATTTTTAGGGGGACAAGACTAATTAATATGTTGTAAGGATATCTTGTGCTTTTATTAGTTGGAGACAATCGGTTAATCATTAACAACAGTCACAATCACAATAAGGTGGGTTCATGATGTATATTTCTATCTTATGAAATATGTATGATTACGATTCAGCCTCCGTTGGTTCGGGTTGGATGTAATGTTTTATTTTTTGTGGTTAAAATAATTTATTTTGTCTTTTGTGATTAAAATAATCAAAAAAGTCTGAAAAAGCTCTTCCCAAACGGACCCTCAATATAGTATATAATTTAGTTTTAAAGTAATGCTGGTTACAATCATATTATAATGACCTTGATTATGATCAAAAATAGTTTTTAATTATATTTTAATATGATTTTAACCTAATGTCATAAATTATTAATCACTGAAATTCAGTTTTTTATTTTATTTTATGTTTATTTTAATAAATCTAAAGACTAAAAAGTGAAATACAAATGATATTCATGTGGGTGCGTACAATATAACTTCTCATATTTGTATGCTATATTATTTCTACAATCTGTACCACTTTAAAATTTTATATGCATGCATTTTTTTAAGAATTTAATCAAAGAATATAACTGGTTGATTATTGGATTGACAAATAAATCATTTATTTATTTTTAAAAATAAGCGTGATAAAATAAAAAATTACAATTATTAGATTGATCTAATATACATGGAGAATTTCACAAAACAAATGGTTAGAATTACAGAAATAGGACGTGTGTGAGTCGATTTCTGACCACACTACCAAACTAGTATCTAGCTGGAGAGTACCGGCAGAATAGATTAAGCCCGAACGACCTGTCATGGAAAGAAGAGATACCGGCAGTGGTTCGTCTACCCGAGGACACTCCGACGATCAAGTCAGTTATCTCTTAAAGATAATAAAAGTGCTTAACTTACTATTTAGAATATAAAAAGCGTGCCTTAGACCCATGGGGTATATCCCTTTTATAGCCAACACAAACCTAATCCCAATAGAAGCTTAGTTCTAATGGATTTTGGATTACTGCTAATATTGGACTACCAGTAGGATTGGGATAAACTCGTCTTATCTTTATTCAAATTGAAGTCATCTCCCAATCTAGGACTCATGTCTCTTATTTGCTTATCCTGGATTCCGGTATTCTTGTAGATAACCTCGGCCTAGCCGAGATTACCTTGGCATCATGTCTAGGACATGTAGCACCTCGGCTGATACTTCGGTGCCATCTCGGCCACGTGTTGTCGCTCAAAAATTATGTCCCCATAGGACGCATGATGAATCTCATGATCCAAACAGTAAAATCAAGTTTAGATTTAAACTTGAGAAAATATTAACTTATCGTAGAATACAATTGGGTTAGGCTTGCCTTCACTCCATCTTGACTTGACTGAAGGGTGTCATTTGCGCCTGTAGAGTTTGTCACAGATTCAATTTCGATGAATTGAACCAATTATTTTTTAGGACATTAGTGTATATTGTTTAAAAAAAAACCAAAAAAAAATCGATATGATAATTATAACTCATTCATTTTATCGTGTTTGTTTTTAAAAATTTGAATGAGAAGCATAATTTTAAGAAGAGACTATCTTTTTTATAAGACAAACACACGATTGTTAAGGTGTCGTTTGGTAACACTTACGTTTTCAGTTTTCTGTTTATATTTACAAAAATTTAAAAAACTCAAATAAAAACTTGTTTGATAAAATTTTTGATTTATAAATCAGTGATCTCAGTTTATAAATTTGGCCAAAAAATGAAAACACAAAAAATGTGTTTCCATTTTGAGTTTTTAGTTTTTTTTTTTTTTTTTTTACCACCGATAATCGTATCATTTTTATTTTATCGCATTTGTTACTTAAAAAAATAGATATCTATTTCTTAAGGTAAGGAGGTTTGAACCATCTCACTTGGTCAGCAGTGTGTAGGGCGTTATCAAGATAGGTATTTATCCTTCGGAGTATGATTCTTAGGAGGACTTTTATAGGAAGAGTTGGAATCCTACTAGGATTGTGCTAGGTGAAAACTATAAAAGTTCATAGCAGAACCTATGTACAGGTATCATAATTTTTACTCTCAAATACACAGAACTTTTGTCTATTGTCTATTGCTGACTTAGGCATTGGAGAGGTTTTCGGCACACACCCACCGGCTAGCTCACGGCTGCCACCTACCCGCTATCCACCACCACCTACCATCGGCCACTCACCACCCACCACCCACTCACCACCCACCACCCACCACTCGCCACCGCCACCCACCACCACCACCACCACTCGCCACCACTCACCACCACCCGCCATCCGCCACCCACCTGCCACCACCACCCATCACCACCACCGCCGCCGCCGCCCACTCGCTACCACCCGCCACCCGCCACCGTCACCCACTTACCCACCACCACCATCCGCCACCCACCTGCCACCACCACCCGCCACCACCACCGCCACTACCACCCACTCGCTACCACCCCCACCTGCCACCGTCACCCACCCACTCACCACCATCACCACCACCCACTACCACCAGCTACCCACCACCCACCGTCACCACTTTCCACCATCGTCTTCTGCCGCCACTTGTCACCACTTGCCATTTCTCACTCTTTTTTATATTTTTAAAATTTTTTAAACATTTTGTCAATTACCAAACGCGTTTGTAGTTTGTGTTTTTCTAAAAATAAACAAAAATCAATTTATAAAATTTTTGTAAATATAAATTGAAAACGTAAACGTTACCAAAAATACCCTAAATTAACTAATTTTTTTTATGAACAATATATATAAATAATATTATAAAATGAACTATTCAAATGATGGGATCCATGAATTGCATGCTCCACCGGTTGAACAGATGAACTGGTAGTAAGCCCGACCAATTGAAGCGCGCGTGTAACCCCACGCACTCGGCTGTTAATCGCTCTCCATAACGGTTTCAGATACACCTTACGTGGGCACACATCTTTCCCTTGCACTCCCTCTTGTAGGTCGTTCGGGTCTATTTTTAAGTCTAATTTTAATAATTTAAATTATTTATATTTTAAAATTTATTCAGTATATTATATTTATAAAAAATTAAGTTGATTGGATATCAAAAAGTATGTGTTTAAAAAAATCGAACTAAAATTATTTTTTTAAAGAATTTAATAAACAATTTTTCAAATATATATTTTCTGATATCTGATCAACTTAATTTTTTACAAATATAATATACTAAATAAATTTTAAAATACAAACAATTTAAATTATTAAAATTGAATTTAAAAATGAACCGAAAGACCCTGCAAGAAGTAAGTGCAAGAAGAGGATCTTAATTCCACCTCACGGTCCCCCCCGCGTGAAGCAAGTCTCCTCTCCACCAATAGACAATAACCTACATTTCCAAACTCTAATTCACACAACTTCCACCAATGATGTGCTTCAACGTTTACATCTAAAAAGTTGAAACAAAGAAAGTCTTACATCGAACGGATGATATAATTTGCTTCACTTATTAACAGTGGTCTGCGACACACCCAATTTTAACTCCCAGTCTTTATATGATCCCCACCTAAGCTTCACCTGGTAACTTCTCTCTCTCCCTCTCTCTCTCTCTCTCTCTCTCGGTGCGGACTGCGGAGCTCGTTCTCGACAAGGTTTTACTTTCTTGTTGCTGTTTACTCTGTAATTGTATAGTTCTTTGATTTTGCTTTAACTTCTTGAACTATAAGATGATTGTTTACAGTATTTGAGTGAACTTGTGATTTGATGAGTTTGTTCTTGGAAAATTCAATGGATGTTTGTTCATCAATAAAGATTCGTTTATTGCGTTTATATTTTGATGTTTGCTTGGATGAAATCGTTGTGTTCTTGCTTCATTTAATTGATTGTTTTGCAAAAATTCTCAAATTCTTGAGTAAATTCTTGAGTCTGAAATCTGCTTTTGAATTGATCGCGAAGCATTTTCTATGCCTAGAAATCTCTGCAACTTCGCATGTGCATGTATATGTATATGTATATAGAGGTAGAGAGAGAGAGAAACAGAGAATTTGTGAAAATCTTTCACGTTGTTGGTCATTGCAAATTCTTGACTCTGATATCTACTTTTGAATTGATCTCGAAGAATTTTCTATGTTTAAAAATCTCTGCAACTTCACATGTGCATGTATATATATATGTATATATGCATATATAGGTATTTGTCTAGAGAGAATTTGTGAAAATCATTCACGTTGTTGTTCATTGCAAATTTACCTTCATGTTTTGAGATTGCAATTCTAGAACAAAACTGATCTTGCGTTTTATAACTACTTGTTAATTTCATCTTTTCTTATTCAGCGACATATCAGTAAAATGCAGAAAGAGGTCCATGGCGGTGACAACACTCACAACAACTCCACAGAGTCGTTACCTCACCTCTCTCGCAATCCGCATCTCTCTCCATCTGAAAACCAGTCCGACTCAATTGATTTCACCTCATTCTATCCTTCAATGTTCCCTCCGAATTCGAAATCTCTCTCCATTTCGCCTTCCGATTGCTCCTTCGACGACGACACCACCAGCTCATTCACCACCGAGAACCGCCTCCATCAAGCTCGCTTCATCCTAGAGTACCAGCAACTCTACAATCGCTACACAATGTGCCTCGCTCACCTCCAAGAATCGCTCAAAGAAGTCGACGCTTCGTGAAGAGAACGACAATCTCCGAGTCGCCAATACAGATTTGGTGAATCGCTTAAGCCTCCTGTCTCAGGCCACAATCCAGAACTGCCTTCTCTCCTCATCTCATCCACCTCTCTCCTTCGTCAACGACTTCAATTGTCTGAGTGTTGGAGGCGGAGGCACCGTTCGTGACAATCGTGTTTCCGAAGAAATTTCAAATATCAGTCCAACGAGCGTGATCGAACACAACCGAATCGAACGAAGGAGTACAGAGAGAGTTGTGTTGCCGAAGAGCATTTCGGTTCGTTCGAGAGGTTACCTGAAGATGACTCAACGTGGTGGTGGAAGCAATGGAGGTCCCAGTCGAAGCAATCAAGTCAAGAGCCCAATCCTGAATGGATCTGTGAGTCATTCCAATCGTTCTTTTTCCTTCTGTTTCAAACTTTGCATTGTTTCCATGTTACTGCTCATTTTGTCGATTTTGACATTTAATTTTTAATTTTATGTCAAGTTAATTCAATTAATAAGGTTGATTAAAATTTTTAAAGAAAAGTTAACACACAGTTTGTTAAAATCAACTCACTAAATTTTTTTTGAACAATTATGATAGAAATCCTCACACATTAATGACCCTTGCCAGGACCGGCCCTGGCCTAAGGCGAGTAAGGCCTGTGCCTTAAGCCCTAAAATTTTGGCCAAAAAATAGGGTTTCAAATTTAGTAAAATGTTATAGGTCTAATATTTTTTTTTTGGGATCAATTTAAAGGGTCCCGAAATATTTTATTGGGTCCATGCATGGTTTATCCCATATTTATTTATAAATGTAGTTTAGTCCATATTTATTAAAATGAAAATATATATTAAAAAAAAAGTGTTTGGACTCAAAAATAACAATACACACAAAAAATGGGCCCTAATTTTTTTTTAACCTTCTTTATCTATTAGATTTTAGTGGAATAAATAATTTTGCTTGAATTTTTTTACCTAAGTCTTTATTAGTTTTAATTGATTAATTTTTTCCTAATTTTTTGGCCCTAATTTTGTTTCATTAAATTGTTTTGTTTATAATTTTAATGATTATATGCGTAAGTAAATTTTTTTGTGGTTACAAATAAATAAAAAAGTTGTAACTTATCGTTTTATCCATAATTTTTTTTTTCAATACAAGAGGGGCCTCATTTTCAAAATTCGCCTTAGGCTCTCTAAATCTCAGGGCCGGCCCTAACCCTTGCAATTCTCATTTTCATTCTAACCACTCGTAATGTGAAGTCCACGCATACATAAGTGGACTCCACACTCACATCAAAGACCAAAATTAAATTGGGAGTCATGGAAACCTCAAAAAAGGAATAATACTAAGGATCATGAAAAAAATATCATGAAATATTTCATGAAGAGTTTTCATCCTTTGATTAGTGTGTTGTGTCTTTTTGTATGTATAATCTAACGGTGGAGAATCTTTCATAATCATTTTCATGATATTTTTTTTCATGATAGAGAGCCTCAAACATTTCTCTTTTTGAACTACCATTAACTCACTAAATTAATAGCAATGTTAGGTATCATGAAAAATCTTTTATGAAAATAATCATGAAAGCTTTGTGACCCTTAGATTACACTTAGTGCCATTTTGGGAACATAGTAAAAAGCCGTCCAAAAACGTGGCTGCTAAAAACGCAACAAAATCCATTTGGGAAGTGCCAAAAACGTAGCCCTAAAATTACAAATTAGAGCCTATGAATAAAAAAATAAAAAAATAAATCTCTTATGTTAGGTAAGAATATTTTGGTCATTTTAATTTGATTTGGCACTATAAATAAATATCAAACTAAAAAGTAAAAAGCCAACTTTTTACCAACTTCCTAAATCACTTCCAAAAAAGCCAAAAAGCTTGGTAAAAAGTCAAAGGGGTATTTTTTTTAAGGTCCTTGATATTATGATTTTATAGTATAAAGGACATCAACTATTTTCATGATGTCTAAGGTCCCTCAACATCAATCCAGAGAAATTTCAGTCCAGAGAAAATTCGATCCAGAGAAAATTCAACCAGAGAAAATTCAATTCAGAGAAAATTCAACCAGAGAAAATTCAATCCAGAGAAAATTCAACCAGAGAAAATTCAATCCAGAGAAAATTCAACCAGAGACAAGAATCGTAAATTTTTTATGATCATTTATGAAAAAGATTTTATAATCCCTAACTTTTCTCCTAAATTAAATAAGTTTATAATTTTATTTGTAAAAGCATGCCATTTGCTGCCTAAGAACACTTTCTTCAAAAAAAAAAAAAAACAAAAACAAAAACAAAAACGCTAACAATTATAATTAATTAGATGAAATTGAGATAAAATTATAAATTAAAAAAAAAACTAACAATTATAGTTAATTAGACTAAGACCTCGTTTGGGAAGCGATCGATTTAGTTAAAAATTCAAAAAGTTATTAAAAAAGTCAAAAAGTAAATAACCTATACAAAAAATTCAAATATTTCATTTTCTTTCTATTTTTTACACATCTTTTCGTAAAAAGTCAAAAAGTCATCTAAACATATTAATTTTTTTACATTATATTTTAGCCAAAAAATTAAAAAATTACTAAAAATGTCTATTCCCAAACGAGACCTAAATTGAGATAAAATTATAGATTCAAGATTAAATTAAGTCAATTAAAATTACAATAATTAAAATGATACAAGTACCAAAGCAACGTTATTTACTGTTTTTATTTATTTATTTGGATTTGTTAACGTGTGGTGTGGAACAGCAAAGAGTGTATGTGCCTGGGGGGAAGAGAGAGGAGGAGGCGTTGGAGTTCGAGGTGTACAATCAAGGGATGTTCAAGACGGAGCTCTGCAACAAGTGGCAAGAGACTGGAAAGTGTCCTTACGGCGACAACTGCCAATTCGCACATGGCATCACGGAGCTCCGTCCGGTGATCAGGCATCCACGATACAAAACTGAGGTCTGCCGCATGCTTCTCTCCGGTGACAGCTGCCCTTACGGCCACCGTTGCCACTTTCGCCATTCTCTCACACAGCAGGAAAGGCTCTTGGGTCCACACCGAATCAATGACCATACTGGTTGAGATATGATGGCCTAGGTTATGTTGCGATGTACATAATCCGAGCCCCTCTCATAAAAAAATAATCTGAATAGTATTAGTAAATAAAATAAAAATGAGAAATTAAATATGTTAATGATATTTTTTGAGAAAATAATTTTTGGAAGGCGTGGAAAATGTTAGAATTGAGGAGAGGAAAAAAAAAAATAGAGGGCAGAGGAAATGTATTCTCTTGTAAGTTGTTGGATTTCATTTTTTTTTTCGTTTTTTTAATTTTGATTAACAAACATGTGGTTGGGCATTACCAAATGACCAACCAAACAACCAAACTCACTGTGTGTAATGATGATGATATATTCATGGGGTTACAATTTCATGATCTAAACTCTCTCTGCCTCTATCTGAGCAAAGAATTAATGAACGTAGATGGTGGTGCTTGACATGATGGAGATTGAGTATGTGTTGTGTTTTTGAGAAGTTGGTTAAAAAGTTAATTTTTTGATTTTTTTTTTTTGACAGTTTTGGTAGTTTTTTTTAGTAAAAAGTTAGGTTGTTTTGAGTAAAAAATTAATTTTTTTGGTTAAAAAAGTTAAAAAGCCAAAAAATTAGTGGTGTTTGGAAAGTTTGGGACTTGGGTTTTTTTTTTATTTTTTTCACAAAAAGATAAATTTTTTGTAAAACTAAAAAAAAAACATTCAAACAAAATATCACATCCAACCCTATAATCATTTCACTTTTTCTCTCATAAACATCACATCCAATCACAAAAAAACTGAACTATTTTTCCAAACACAAATTTTTTTTCTCCAATAATATCCTACAACTAAAAAAACTTACATAAAAACTCACTTCCCAAACACCCACTAACTTTTTACAATTGTTCCCAAATGACCCCTGTAGTAGTTGATATCGTAGAGATTGTGTACATGATCTCTTCGAAGTCTGGTAATATTAGTTGTATATTGAATATTATTATTTAAGAGTAAAAATTAGATTGTTTTTAAGTTTATTGACCTGATAATTAATTTAGATAGTTAAAATAACACTCTCTCTTATTTTCTTTAATTATTAATCAATTATATAATTTACATATCATTGAGTATAAAAAATAAATTTATAGATTATTTTTCTTGTCTATTAATATATGTAGTAGGGCTGAGTATAGAGTTATCCGAATCGCACAACCTACTAACCCGAACCGATTTGCATACAAATGGACAGTTTCGCAGACACAATGCGGGCAGATGCAGTTCAGAATATGGTATGATTGCAGATTGCAGACGGGTTGCGGGTTTAACCTGCACCTGTAAGAACTCGCCCACACTTAAACTTTTTTATTTTTTATTTTTTTTTGTTATTTTATTATTGCATTTTGGATGAATATAAAAGTTAATGAAAAATTACTTTTAATTAAGTTTAAGATATTAAATGATTTTACTTTAATTGTATTGTTGGGTAGTAGATAGTGAATGAGATTGATGATCTAGTTTAGGATTTTGAAAGATATACTTGTGTTAGTTTATGATTTGATTTAAAGTTTAGGATTTTGAATTACTTATTTGTGTTAGGAATTGATTTTGTTGTATTTTTAATTTTATAAGTTTTAATTCATTAATTATTAATGTTGGAGCATTTTAAAAAATGGAAGAAAAAGGACCCAAAATAAATATTTATAAAATGAAAAAAAAAAAGGCTCAAAAATTAAATTTTTAAATAAAAAAGTTCAATTCACAAACTGCCTACAATAGTTCGTACATCCGCGAACTCTATTCGTACAAATCGCAACCCGCACTATAGGCAATTACGGGTTAAATTTTCTTTAATCACATACATGCAAATGAGTCCAAATCAATCCACAAATCAACCGTCACCACCCAGACTTAACCATCTATATAATAAGGAAGGATAGTTTTTGAATCCTGATGGGACTTTTGTCTCTTTGTCAAAATGTAAACCGTTAGATTGATTCAATCCAAGGGCTGAAAATGTCTCTCATTTGTCCTATTCAATCACAAGATCTAATGGTCCAAAATGTAATCTGATGGCTCTGTTTTTTAACACACACACCCCCCTCTCTCTCTCTCTCTCACGTACTCCTCTCTTCTCTTTCTGATTTCAAATTTTGAACCCACACCATCTCTCTCTCTCTCTCTCTCTCTCTACCTTCATTGGAGCCCATTCCCTTGCTCTTCTTCAATTTGCTGTCGGAGCCCAACCCTTGCAGGAGACCCAACCCCGAACCCTATTACTCTCCTCATCTTCTTTCTTCCTTCCTTCCTCTCTCCGCCATCCCAATCTTCATCAACAGTGGCAGCCCCAATCCCCCTTGAAGAATCTAAACGAATGGAAGAATCTGGTAGAAATACTATTTAGGTGAGCAAACCAATCTTATTTGTTATCTTCTTAGGTTTGTTGTTTTCCATCACCTAAACCAATCTTACCAATCTGTTAACAGTCCTTTTTTGTGAACATGATTGTATCAATAGCTCTGGAAAAATCAGATTTAATAGCTCTGGAAAATTTAGATTTAATTGCTCTGGAACATGATTGTTTCAATAGCTCTGGAACAATCAGATTGTATCAATAGCTCTAGAACATGATTGGGAACATGATTGTATATGTGTTTCTGATTGGGAACAATCAGATTGTATCAATAGCTCTGGAACATGATTGTGAACATCTATATAATAAGGAGGCTCCGGAACATGATTGTGAATATCTATAAACCAATCTTACCAATCATGATTGTGAACATGATTATGAACATCTATAAACCAATCTTACCAATCGTGTTTTTTTTTTTTTTTGGGGGTTTGAGTTTTGCTGGTCTCAAATCAATTAGTGATATTGCTTAGTCGATTGTTTATACGATCATCACACATGTGTTTGATAGAATGACCCAATAAGTCATGTATTGCAAGTGTTTGATAGAATGACCCAATAAGTTTTATTTATTTTGATTTTGGAGAATATATATAGGCACACAACTATAACTATCAATGCACCGTTTTGGCTTTAATTATTTTTTTCAAAATTTATAGGATTGTTGAACCAATCATTTTTTTTTTTTTTTTTTGGTGTGTGTTTTACTAGACTCAAATCAATTACAATCATTACACGTGTTTGATAGAATGACCCAATAAGTCATTGTTGGAGAAAAATGGTTGAATAAGAAATTGCCTCATAAATGTGTATATAACTCACACATTTAAGGCTCATCAGTTTTACAAAATTGATTGGGCAGTTTTGCTAGCATTAGTTGCCAGCCTTGATGGCTAGAGGCTCCTCCCCTCTCCCCCATGGTGTATAAAAGGAGGCCCTATTCCTTGAAAAGAGATATATAATTTTTCCTTGACAATACACTGTCAGTCTACTTCTCCTATAATTTTTTTCCTGAGAGAGAGTGCTGCCGTTGTCCGTTCGCTAAGCTAATCAGAAGGTACTTCTGTTGTAGCTGGTAAAAACCGTCGTATCCTGGAAAGTAGACGTCGGCGTACCTCCAGCACCCAATGGTGAGGCGGCGAATCTATTTTAAGGAGACTGTGGTATCACACAGGCTTCGGTTTGCTTCCTTTAACCATTTTATATTTTATCTGTATTTTATTTAGCATTTTATCTTTTTTGAGATTGAAGATTTGTTTTGTTCATCTCATAATTTTGCGATATGTAATGTGAATAGTTTTTCCCAACAAAATCAGCAAAAGCTTCTTATTTATAAGATGGTATTATACAACTTAGAAAATATGAGGAAGAAGAACTCCGAAAATATGAGGAAGAAGGAATATATTTCTGAGTTTTAATTCATTAATTATTAATGTTGGAGCATTTTAAAAAATGGAAGAAAAAGGACCCAAAATAAATATTTATAAAATGAAAAAAAAAGCTCCAAAATTAAATTTTTAAATAAAAAAGTTCAATTCACAAACTGCCCACAACAGTCCGTACATCCGCGAACTCTATTCGTACAAATCGCAACCCGCACTATAGGCAATTACAGGTTGAATTTTCTTTAATCACATACATGCAAATGAGTCCAAATCAATCCACAAATCAACCGTCACCATCTAGACTTAACCATCTATATAATAAGGAAGGATAGTTTTTGAATCCTGATGAGACTTTTGTCTCTTTGTCAAAATGTAAACTGTTAGATTGATTCAATCCAAGGGCTGAAAATGTCTCTCATTTGTCCTATTCAATCACAAGATCTAATGGTCCAAAATGTAATTTGATGGCTCTGTTTTTTAACACACACCTCTCTCTCTCTCTCTCTCTCTCTCACGTACTCCTCTCTTCTCTTTCTGATTTCAAATTTTGAACCCATACCCTCTCTCTCTCTTGCTCTCTCTCTACCTCCATTAGAGCCCATTCCCTTGCCCCTCTTCAATTCACTGTCGGAGCCCAACCCTTGCAGGAGACCCAACCCCGAACCCTATTACTCTCCTCATCTTCTCTCTTCCTCCCTCCCTCTCTCCACCATCCCAATCTTCATCAACAGTGGCAGTGCCAATCCCCCTTGAAGAATCTAAACGAATGGAAGAATCTGGTAGAAATACTATTCAGGTGAGCAAACTAATCTTATTTGTTATCTTCTTAGGTTTGTTTTTTCCATCCCCTAAACCAATCTTACCAATCTGTTAACAGTCCTTTTTTGTGAACATGATTGTATCAATAGCTCTGGAAAAATTAGATTTAATAGCTCTGAAAAATTTAGATTTAATTGCTCTGGAACATGATTGTATCAATAGCTCTGGAACAATCAGATTGTATCAATAGCTCTGGAACATGATTGTATATGTGTTTCTGATTGGGAACAATCTGATTGTATCAATAGCTCTGGAACATGATTGTGAACATCTATATAACAAGGAGACTCTGGAACATGATTGTGAATATCTATAAACCAATCTTACCAATCATGATTGTGAACATGATTGTGAACATCTATAAACCAATCTTACCAATTGTGTTTTTTTTTTTTTTTGGTTTGAGTTTTACTGGTCTCAAATCAATTAGTGATATTGCTTAGTCGATTGTTTATACGATCATCACACATGTGTTTGATAGAATGACCCAATAAGTCATGTATTGCAAGTGTTTGATAGAATGACCCAATAAGTTTTATTTATTTTGATTTTGGAGAATATATATAGGCACACAACTATAACTATCAATGCACCGTTTTGGCTTTAATTATTTTTTTCAAAATTTATAGGATTGTTGAACCAATCATGTTTTTTTTTTTTTTTTTTGGTGTGAGTTTTACTAGACTCAAATCAATTACGATCATTACAAGTGTTTGATAGAATGACCCAATAAGTCATATTAAATTTGTTCCAGTTCAACCATAAATAAATGCTCATTGGAAGTGCCACTATATACACC